CTTCAGGATATTATCTAGGAGAACTTCCCCAATCTAGCAATGCAGGCCAACATTCAAATGCAGAAAATACAGAGAACACCACAAAGATACTCCTCAAGAAGAGCAACACCAAGGCACATAATTGTCAGATCACCAGGGTTGAAATGAAGGAAAAAATGCTAAGGGCAGCCAGAGAGAAAGGTTGGATCACCCACAAAGCGAAGTCCATCAGACTCACAGCAAATCTCTCAGCAGAAACCCTACAAGCTAGAAGAGAGTGGGGACCAATATTTAATATCCTTAAAGAAAAGAACTTTCAACCCAGAATTACATATCCAGCCAAACTAAGCTTCATAAGTGAAGGAGAAATAAAATTCTTTATGGGCAAGCAATTGCTGAGAGATTTTGTCACCACCAGACCTGCCTTACAAGAGATCCCGAAGGAAGCAGAAAGGAACAATCAGTACCAGCCACTGCAAAAATGTACCAAATGATAAAGGCCAATGACGCAATGAAGAAACTGCATCAACTAACAGGCAAAACAACCAGCCAGTAACAAAATGGCAGGACCAAATTCACACATAACAATATTAATGTTAAATGTAAGTGGCCTAAATGCCTCAATCAAAAGAGACAGACTGGCAAACTGGATAAAAACTCAAGACCCCTTGGTGTGCTGTATTCAGGAGACCCATCTCATGTGCAAAGACACACATAGACTCAAAATATAGGGATGGGAGAAGATTTAGCAAGCAAATGGAGAGCAAAAAAAAGCAGGGGTTGCAATCCTAGTCTCTGATAAAACAGACTTTAATCCAATAAAGATCAAAAGAGACAGAGAAGGGCATTACATAATGGCAAAAGGATCAATGCAACAAGAAGAGCTAACTATCCTAAATATATATGCACCCAATACAGGAGAACCCGGATACATAAAGCAAATTCTTAACAACCTACAAAGAGACTTAGACACTTGCACAATAATAGTGGGAGACTCTAACACTCCACTGTCAATATTAGACAGCTCAACAAGACAGAAAATCAACAAGGATATCCAGGACTTGAATGCAGATCTGGACCAAGTGGAGCTAATAGACATCTACAGAACTCTCCTCCCCAAATCCACAGAATATACATTCTTCTCAGCACCACATCACACTTACTCTAAAATAGACCACATAATTGGAAGTAAATCATGCCTCAGCAAATGCAAAAGAACAGAAATCATAACAAACAGTCTTTCAGACCACAGTGCAGTCAAATTGGAATTCAGGATTAAGAAACTCACTCCAAACCACACAACTACATGGAAACTGAATAACTGGCTCCTGAATGATGACTGGATAAACAATGAAATGAAGGCAGAAATAAAGATGTTCTTCGAAACCAATGAGAACAAAAACACAACATACCAGAATCTCTGGGACACATTTAAAGCAGTGTCTAGAGGGAAATTTATAGCAATAAATGCCCACATGAGAAGTGAGGAAAGATCTAAAACAACACCCTATCATCAAAATTGAAAGAGCTAGGGGAGCAAGATCAAAAAAACTCAAAAGCAAGCAGAAGACAAGAAATAACTAACGTCAGAGGAGAACTGAAGGAGATAGGGACACAAAAAACCCTTCAAAAAATCCATAAAGCCAGGAGCTCATGTTTTGAAAAGATCAACAAAATAGACCACTAGCCAGATTAATAAAAAAGAAAAGAGAGAAGAATCAAATAGATGCAATAAACAACAATAAAGAGGGTATCACCACCGATTCCACAGAAATACAAACTACTCTCAGAGATTACTATAAACAACTCTATGCACATAAACCAGTAAATCTGGAAAAAATGGATACATTCTTGGACACTTGCACCCTCCCAAAACTAAACCAGGAAGAAGTTGAAACCCTGAATAGACCAGTAACAAGTGCTGAAGTTGAGGCAGCAATTAATAGCCTAACAACCAAAAAAAGTCCAGGTCCAGATAGGTTCACAGCTGAATTCTACCAGATGTACAAAGAGGAGCTGGTACCATTCCTTCTGAAACTATTCCAAATAATACAAAAAGAGGGAATCCTTCCTAACTCATTTTATGAGACCAACGTCATCTTGTTACCAAAACCTTACAGAGACTCAACTAAAAAAGATGATTCTGAGGGCTCTACAGCCATGTGGAACTATAAGTCTAATTAAGCCTTTTTCTATTCCAAAAAAAAAAAAGAAAGAAAGAAAACCTCAGGCCAATATCCATGATGAACATAGGTGCAAAAATCTTCAATAAAATACTGGCAAATTCCAATGCAACAGCACATCAAAAAGCTTATCAATCATGACCAAGTAGGCTTCATTTGGGGGATGCAAGGCTGGTTCAACATAAGCAAATCTATAAATGTAATCCATGTCATAAACAGAACCAAAGGCAAAAACTACATGATTATCTCAATAGATGCAGAGGAGGCCTTTGACAAAATTCAACAGCCCGTTATGCTAAAACCCCTCAATAAACTAGGTATCGATGGAACATATCTCAAAATAATAAAAGCTATTACGACAAACCCACAGTCAATATCATACTGAAAAGGCAAAAACTGGAAGCATTCCCTTTGAAATCTGGCACTAGACTAGGATGCCCTCTCACACCACTTCTATTCAATATGGTATGGAAGTTCTAGCTGGAGCTATCAGGCAAGAAAAAGAAATACAGGGTATTATATTAGGAAAAGAGAAAATCAATTGTCCCTATTTGCAGACAACATGATTGTATAGTTAGAAGACCCCATTGTCTCAGCCCCAAATCTCCCTAAGATGATAAACAACTTCAGCAAAGTCTCAGGATAAAAAATCAATGCAAAAAGTCACGTGCATTCCTATACACCAATAATAGACAAACAGAGAGCCAAACTATAAGCGAACTCCCCTACACAATTGCTACGAAGAGAATAAAATATCTAGGAATACAACTAACAAGGGACGTGAAGGACTTCTTTAAGGAGAACTACAAACCACTGCTCAAGGAAATAAGAAAGGACACAAACAGATGGAAAAACATTCCATGCTCATGGTTTGGAAGAATCAATATCGTGAAAATGGCCATACTGACCAAAGTAATTTATAGATTCTATGCTATCCCCATCAAGCTACCATTGACCTTCTTCATAGAAATGGAAAAAACCACATTAAAATTCATATGGAACCAAAAATAGAGCCCACATAGCCAAGACAATCCTAAGCAAAAGAAAAAAACAAACAAGCAAACAAAAAAAACAAAGCTGGAGGCATCACAATACCTGACTTCAAACTATACTACAAGGGTACAGTAATCAAAACAGCATGGCGCTGGTATCAAAACAGAGATATAGAACAATGGAACAGAACAGAGGCCTTAGAAGTAATGCCACACATCCACAACCATGTGATCTTTGACAAACTCAGCAAAAACAAGAAATAGGGAAAGGATTCCCTTTTTTATAAATGGTGTTGGGAAAATTGGCTAGCCATGTGCAGAAAGCTGAAACTGGACCCCTTCCTTACACATTATACAAAAATTAACTCCAGATGAATGAAAGATTTAAACACAAGACCTAACACCATAAAAACCCTAGAAGAAAACCTAGGCGAAACCCTTCAGGACATAGGCATAGGCAAGGACTTCATGACTAAAACACAAAAATAAATGGCAACAAAAGCCAAAATTTACAAATGGGAGCTAAACTTAAGAGCTTCTGCACAGCAAAAGAAACAATCATTAGAATGAACCAGCAACCAACAGAATGGGAAAAAATTTTTGCAAGCTACACATCTGACAAAGTGCTGATAGCCAGAATCTACAACCCCATCAAAAAGTGGGTGAAGGATATGAACAGACACTTTTCAAAAAAGACATATATGAGACCAACAAACATATGAAAAAATGCTCATCATCACTGGTCATTAGAGAAATGCAAATCAAAACCACATTGAGATACCATCTCACACCAGTTAGAACGGCGATCATTAAAAAATCTGGAGATAACAGATGCTGGAGAGGATGTGGAGAAAAAGGAACACTTTTACACTGTTGGTGGGAGTGTAAGTTAGTTCAACCATTATGGAAGACAGTGTGGTGATTCCTCAAGGATCTAGAAATAGAAATTCCATTTCACCCAGCAATCCTATTAATGGGTATATATCCAAAGGATTATAAATTATTGTATTATAAATACACATGCACACATATGTTCATTGTGGCATTGTTTGCAATAGCAAAGACCTGGAACCAACCCAAGTGCCCATCAATGATAGACTGGACAAAGAAAATGTGGCACATATACACCATGCAATACTATGCAGTCATAAAAAACGATGAGTTCATGCCCTTTGTAGGGACATGTATGAAGCTGGAAACCATAATTCTCAGCGAACTGACAGAAAACCACACACCACATGTTCTCACTCATAGGTGGGTGTTGAACAATTAGAACATATGGGCACAGGGAGGAGAACATCAACAGTGGAGTATGTTGGGGGATGGGGCATAGGGGAGGGACAGCAGGGAGGTTGGGGAGGGATAACACTGGGAGAAATGCTTGATGTAGGTGAGGGGGGATGGAGACAGCAAATCACCATGGCATGTGTGTATCTATGCAACAATCCTGCAAGATCTGCTCATGTACCCCAGAACTTAAAGTACAATTAAAAATAAATAACAAAAGAAAAAAATGTATACATCTATACATAGATATATATAATTTTTGTGATGAAGATTTTTAAATGTTTTTATCCTATTTGTTAAAATACATTCATACCATTTAGTGTGTCTTTGGATGAGATACAGTAAGTTAAGCTTAATGTTCATGACATCACTCTAGTTCTTCCTAATTTTGTTTCTAGAAATAAGAACCAGCAAGGGAAGTAGAGCCACTCTATGGTAAAGAACAAAAAAAAGTAATATTAGCATGGACATGTTAAGAGACTCAGAAGCTGATAATTCAGTTTCAGCTTTACTTGATTCCAGTGCATACAAGGTTTCAAAAGAAAGAAATCATTCAGTATTATGTTGAAGGTTTTGTATTTCAACCTCTGTGTTTCTTCATGAACATTTTCCCTTAATGTGGTCATCTTTTTGATAATCACAAAGTGTCATTTAGTACATTTTCAGAACCCTCTTCCAGTGAAATGGTTGACAAGTATGAATACACTTTTTCCATTAGAGGTTCCCCGAGAGAAGGCATTGACGAGTTCCTTTTCACTAGAGAATCATCAGAAAACCAGTCATCAGCTGCTTCTATACTTTGACTGTAATAAGAATCAGATGGCAGTGTTGATAAGCTTAATGTAACACTGCTGCGATTTGTTGGGGATCTCTCAGAGGGATCACAAATGACTTTTTTTGTTGCAAGGCGGGACTCATCTTTAGAATGATCTTTAATTGCTGTAAAAAGATAGATTTGTTATGAATATTACATATTCACGAGCCAACTCTTAATTATAAGGACAATGTTAGAATGGGCAGAATAATGCTATAAAGAAATTCTGAGTTGCTATCATCTTCCACACAGTGTTACATGTAATTAGGAATTAGCAATATTTTCATGATAATCAAGAACAGAAAAGTCTATTCTAAATGAAGTTAACATGCTCAAGCAGAAAAAGACTAATTAGGCTAGACATGCTTCAAAATGTTCTTTAAAATCAGAAAAGACTGCTTTGTTTTAAAAATAAATTTTAAAAATACTGGTATAATTAATAAAGTGACATTTTTCACATATTCAATTTTTGTAAATATTAAATTACAAATTCAACTTTCTGAGAAAGAATCATTTATTTATGATTGTAGAAATAACTACTACATATATGAAAAAAAGAAAATTTAAAAAAAAGAAAAGCAATAACTACTAATATTTACAACTCAAAACCAAGCAAAAATCCCTTGTAAGATACATAGTATCTATTTGGAGCAAAGGTATTTATAACTAATTTGTTTCATTTTAAAATAAGGACAACTAAACATCAAAAAAGATGAGTACATGCCTCCTTAAGCAAGTATTAGAAAATACCTGGTCTGCATTGGGAAGGGCAGATGAATTGGCTTAACACCAGTAATAGTAACAAACCTTCCTGTAGTGACTTTCAATTTACAAAGCATTTGGATATATTTCTATATGTTATTTATGCTCTTAATAATTCTTCAAGGTAGTTATTATTAGCACCACTTCACGAAAAGAATAAACAGACTTAGAATGAACCATTACAAATCAGATACAAAATAGATTTTAGCCTAGATTTTCATTACTTTGTCTCATGCTTTTCCCATTATAGTATTTAGGTTGCACATTTGCCATTAAAATATGCTGTTTTAGAAAATATTATATCTATACAATATTCTATAATACCTTTTATAACATTTTACATATTAACTTTTTAAAAAAATTCTGTATAAGGCCATTCTTGCAAACATATTAACTTTATTTTTTGAGACAGAGTCTCACTATGTCACCCAGGCTGGTGTACAGTGGCGTGGTCTCAGCTCACTGCAGCCTTCGCCTCCTGGGTTCAAGTGATTCTCCAGCTTCAGCCTCCCAAGTAGCTGGGATTACAGGTGCCACCGCACCCAGCTAATTTTTGTATTTTTAGTGGAGATGGGAGTTTCACCATATTGGCCAGGCTGGTCTTGAACTCCTGGCCTCAAGTGATTCACCTGTCTCAGCCTCCCAAAGTGCTGGGATTACAGGCGTGAGCCACTGAAGGTCTAAACATATTAACTTTTCATATTTTCCACATTTTAAAAGCTCTGTAAAATATCTTGTTATATTTTCTATTCAGCATCTCTAAAATTATGTAGAAGGAAAAAGAAACAAAAAGAAAAAAATATGTAGAAGGTAATGTTTTGAGGCACTAAGATGTAATATGCAGTATCTTTTTATCCACAAGCATTACTATATAACATTGACTATGATATCTTTGTGTACAAATAAGAGATAAAAACTAAAACTTTACATTTTAGTTTAAGATATAATATTGCAAGTTTCATTTTTCTAAAAAAATTATGCCCTTTTACATACTAATAAATTAATGCTTCCTTTACATTTTCATACCATTAAGATATTTAAATGACATTTAGGATAGTCTCTTGATTCTTCAAGATGGGAATTGCTAAAGTTTATTAAGATTTCTTCCAATAAATTATTGAGAAAAAATACCTTTTGTATGTGCTGCTTTCTTTTTTCTTTGCTCCTCCTACATTGAAAAAAGTTATTTATATTTTAAAATCAGAATACTTTTGATATAACATATTTTATATGAGAGTAATAAATTTTAACATTATAATTTTTAATGGAAAATGTTTCTTTCCACAGTATGAATTTCTTTCACCAAAATATATTAAGAGAAAAGAAAAAGTGTTGAAGTGTCATCTGAAATAAATTTGGATTGATCCAAAAAGGCAGTCTCCAGGATAAGGAATAATAGTTTGAATAGGATTTGTTCTCTCCATCCTCAGCAACTTGGTCAGAACTAGAGAGGGCTAAAAATAATTAGAATTTCTAGACTTATTTAATGATCTAACAACAATAATAACAAAAAAGTGAATTCTGGTTGAAAGTCTTTGTAAAAATGGGAATTTTTTTTTTTCTTAGAGACAAGGTCTTGCTCTGTCACCCAGTCTGGAGTGCAGTGGCATTATCATAGCTCACTGCAGCCTTGAACTCCTGGGCTCAAGCAATCTCCCTGTCTCAGCCTCCTGAGTAGCTGGACTACAGGTGCATGCCACCATGCCTGATTTGGGAATATTCTTCCATAGCAAATAAAACATTGCTTAAACAATACATTCCAGATATGTTCTGGGAAGTGTAGTGGTATAGTAGTTCTTGAACTTTAGGGCATTATAATTACCTGGTGTGCCTGTAAAAATTCCAATTCTTGATGATAATATCAGACCCTACTGAAACAGATTCTCTGGAAGTGGGCTTGGGAGTATGCATTGTAACACATTCTGCAAGTGATTCTAATTCAGGTTTTTCTTACATCACTAGATAAACAATAGGCTAAGGCATGGAGTGTTTGGAATGGAGTGGTTGAAGATGAAGTTGGAGAGATAACAGCATCAGATCTTATGTTCTGGGAGAAAATGTGTCAGTGCTCTGTGCTTATCTGCATTTTCCTGTCTCCCAGAAAAGCTAATTTAGAATACTTATATGCATTTTGTTAGTATAAGCGCCTTTGTTTTTGAGACAGGGTCTCATTCTGTCACCCAGGCTGGGATGTAGTGGCATGATCATGGCTCACTGGAGCCTCAACCTCTTGGGCCCAAGTGATTCTCCTGCCTTAGCCTCCTGAGTAGCTGGAACAACAGGTGCATGCCACCATGCCTGGTTAATTTTTTTTAACATTTTATACAGATGGGGGTCTCACTTTGTTGCCCAGGCTGGTCTCAAACTCCTGGGCTCAAGTGATCCTCCCACCATAGCCTCCCAAAGTGCTGGGATTACAGGCATGAGCCACTGCACCCAACCAGCACTTCTTACAAAATCAACTAATTCTTTGTCACTTTCACCTTAATTAACAAATGCCAGTATGGGCTTCCTGGGCTTACCTTGGCTAGATTTAAGACCAATTTATTCTGTGACTCCTGTATAAATTACCTTAGAATATTGCTTCTCAGACTTTGATGTGCCGTTAGATTACCCTGGGAGTTTGTTAAAATGCAGATTCTGACTCAGTAGATATGGGATGGGGTATAAGAGTCTGCATTTCTAACAGGCTCACCTACGTAATGCTGATATTGCTGCTCTGGGAACCAAAGATTAAGTCCCCAGACTGATTAAAATTTGACCCAAAATAAGGGAATGACAAATGGACATTCTTATATACTGCTACATGTACATAGGTGGAAATTTTTGCAGTGAAACTTAATAAATCCACTTCTAGAAATTTATTATGTCAAGTAAATAATTTTGGTTTTGTGTAAACATTCAGCTACCAGAATATTCACCCAAACATTGTTTTTTAAAACCCGCAATTTCAAATCTCAAGCATATGGCTGGGTGCAGAGGTTCACACCTGTAATCCTAGCACTTTGAGAGGCCAAGATGGGTAGAACCCTTGCACCCAGGAGTTCAAGACCAGCCTGGGCAACATAATAAAACCCTATCTCTAAAACAAAACAAAAAACAAAAACAAACAAAAAAACACTGAACCAGGAAGAAATTTAATGACTGAACAGACCAATAATAAGTTCTGTTTATGTGATGAATCACATTTATTGATTTGTGTATGTTGAACCAACCTTGCACCCCAGGAATAAAGCTTACTTGATTGTAGTGAATAAGCTTTCTCATGTGCTGCTGGATTTGGTTTGCCAGTATTTTGTTGAGGATTTTTGCATCAATGCTCATCAAGGATATAGGCCTGAAGTTTTCTTTTTGCTTTGTGTCTCTGCCAGGTTTTGGTATCAGGATGATGCTGGCCTCATAGAATGAGTTAGGGAGGAGTCACCCCTCCTTAATTTTTTGGAATAGTTTCAGCAGGAATGGTACTAGCTCTTCTTTGCACATCTGGTAGAATTCAGCTATGAATCCATTTGGTCCTGGGCTTTTTCTGGTTGGTAGGCTATTTATCATTCACTGAAGTTCAGAACTTATTATTGGTCTGTTTAGTGATTAAATTTCTTCCTGGTTCAGTCTCTGGAAGGTGTATGTGTCCAGAAATTTATCCATTTCTTCTATATTTTCTAGTGTATGTGCATAGAGGTGTCCATAATATTCTCTGATGATTGTTTGTATTTCCATGGGTCAGTGGTAATATCCCCACTGTCATTTCTGATTGTGTTTATTTGAATAGTCTCTTTTCGTTTATATTAGTCTAGCTAGTGGTATATTTTATTACTTTTTTCCAGAAAACCAGCTCCTGGATTCGTTGATCTTTTGAATGTTTTTTTGTGTCTCACTCTCCTTCAGTTCAGCTCTGATTCCGGTTATGTCTTGTCTTCTGCTAGCTTTGGGATTTATTTGCTCTTCATTCTCTAGTTCTTTTAGTTTGATGGTAGGTTGTTAACTTGAGATCTTTCTAACTTGTTGATGGGGGCATTTAGAGCTATAAGTTTCCCTTTTGACACTGCCTTAGCTGTCTCCCAGAGATTCTGGTATGTTGTGCCTTTGTTCTCATTAGTTTCAAAGAACTTCTTGATTTCTGCCTTAATTTCATTGTTTATCCAAAAGTCATTCAGGAGCAGGTTATTCAATTTCTATGTAATTATATGGTTTTGAGTGAATTTCTTAGTATTGGTTTCTAATTTGTGCTGTGGTCTGAGAGACAGATTGTTATGATTTCTGTCCTTTTGCATTTTTTTTTTTGAGACAGAGTCTTACTCTGTCATCCTGACTGGAGTGCAGTGGTGCCATCTCAGCTCACTGCAACCTCTGCCTCCCAGGTTCAAGTGATTCTCCTGCCTCAGCCTCCTGAGTAGCTGGGATTACAGGCACATGCCACCATGCCTGGCTAATTTTTGTATTTTTAGTAGAGATGGGGTTTCATCATGTGGCCAGCTGGTCTTGAACTCCTGACATCAGCTGATCTGCCTGCCTTGGCCTCCCAAATTGCTAAAATTATAGGCGTGAGCCACTGTGCCCAGCCAGAGTGTTTTACTTCTGATTATGCAATCGATTTTAGAGTATGTGCCATGTGGCAATGAGAAGAATACATATTCTGTTGTTTTGGGTTGAAGAGTTCTACAGACGTCTATCAGGTCCATTTGATCCAGTGCTGAGTTCAGGTCCTGAATATCTTTGTTAATTTTCTGACTCAGTGGTCTGTCTAATATTGTCAATGGGGTATAAAAGTCTCCCACTATTATTGTGTGGGAATCTAAGTCTCTTTGAAGGTCTCTAAGAACTTCCTTTATGAATCTGGGTGCTCCTGTGTTGGGTGCATAGATATTTAGGATAGAAGATCTTGTTGAATTGGACCCTTTACTGTTATGTAATGCCTTTCTTTGTCTTTTTTTTTTTTTTTTATCTTTGTTGGTTTGAAGTCTGTTTTGTCTGAAACTAGGATTGCAACCCCTGATTTTTCTGTTTTCCATTTGCTTGGTAGATTTTTCATCATCCCTTTATTTTGAGCCTATGTGTATCATTGCATGTGAGATGGGTCTCTTGAAGACAGAATATTAATGAGTCTTGCTTATTTTTCCGTCTTGCTACTATGTCTTTTAATTGAGGCATTTAGCCCAGTTGCATTCATGGTTAGTATTGATATGTATGGATTTGATCCTGTCATCATTATGTTAGCTTGTTATTTTGCAGACTTGCTTATGTGGTTGTTTTATAGTGTCACTGGTCTGTATATTTCAGTGTTTTTGTGGTGGCTGGCAAGGTTCTTTCCTTTCCTACTTCCTCCAGGAGATCTTGTAAGGCAGATGTGGTGGTAATGAATTCTCTCAGCATTTGCTTGCCTGGAAGGATATTATTTCTCCTTCACTTTTGAAGCTTAATTTGGTCAGATATGAAATTCCGGGTTCAATTTCTTATCTTTAAAAATGGTGACTATTGGCCCCCAATCTCAACTGGCTTATAGGGTTTCTTTTGAGAGGTCTGCTGTTAGTCTGATGGGCTTCCCTTTGTAGGTGGCTTGATCTTTCTCTCTAGCTGCCTTTAACATTTTTTCTTTCATTTTGACCTTGGAGAATCTAATGATCATGTGTCTCAAGAATGTTATTCTTGTGAAGTATCTTACTGGAGTTCCCGTATTTCCCTGAAAGAGATGGATGATATTCTGAAATCTGTTTTCCACATTGGTTCCATTCTCCTCATCTCTCTCAGGGATACCAATGAGTTGTAGCTTAGATCTCTTTACATAATCCCATATTTCTCAGAAGTTTTATTCATTCTTTTTCATTCTTTCTTCTCTATTCTTGTTTGACTGTCTAATTTCAGAAAGCCCATCTTCAAGCTCTGAGATTCTTTCCTCCACTTGGTCTATTCTATTAATACTTGTAATTGCATTATACAATTCATGTAATGTGTTTTTCAGCTCTATCAGGCTGGTGATGCTCTTTTCTACACTGGCTATTCTGTCTGTCAGCTCCTGCATTGTTTTATCATTTATTATTATTATTATTATTAGAGATGATGTCTCACTATGTTGCCCAGGCTGGAGTGCAGTGGCTATTCACAGGCGCAATCCCACTACTGATCAGCACGGGAGTTTTGATCTGGTTTGTTCTCACCCCTCCTTAGGCAACC